TTTCCACTAAGATTTCTTTCTTTGTATGTTTGTTTCCAGTGGATCCCCGAACAGCTTGTCTCCCTGAAATGGGCATGCTGTGACGACGGCATTAGATTGGTAATCTGTAGGCCAAACACTTAGTCAGATGATGCAACTAGCGGCGGCTGCTGATGCCATCGCCCTGGAAGCAAAGACCATGGTGTCTAGTGTGGCATCAGCAGTATAGGAGATAGCTTTCAAGATCCTATTGGCACCCTCCAGCAATGCTCCCTCCTAGCTGTGAAGTCTTCTGAGCAAAAATTCTGCTTTGTGAACTACTGGCATTAAAGTTGTGGGCCAGCGATTTGGCTATTGCATAAATTAGTTAGCTCTGGAGCCATCCTTCCTTAGCGAAGACAAAAAGATGTGAGCCGGTGGCTAAAACACTGTGAGCCAGCTCACACCAACTCAGCTTAAAGAGAACACTGCCCTCCAGTAGTCTGTGGTTGCTGCCTGGTAATATCTCTATCAACTTACGCATCCACACAGTAGTTGCTTTAGACACTGTGGATGCTGCAGATGGCATATTGATTGCCATGGAAGTGGCCTCATGGTCATCTTCAGAGAGCAACCCAGAGGATTGTAGGGCAGTTGCTCGTGCATCAACCACAGGTACCTGCAAAAGATTTGAAGCAGATGATATCAAAGGGTACAACTTTTTAACACCCCCTGGAAATGGTTTGTTTGTTATTGGCTTTGCCCACTCTTCCTCATCTGTCTCACATAGAATTCAGGGGAGAGGAAGGCTCTTTCTGAGCAATTAGCTGGAGGAAAGAACTCATCAATGAGCTCTGTGCTATCTTTCTGCCCTTGGGCATTAGCACTCTTGTCCCCTGCCTTTTGGGGTCCCTGTATATTGAGTGCTGATAGGGTCTTAAACAGCAAATACTGAAAAACCTTGAAATATCTAAAGGACTGGTCTGAGACAATCATTTTCCCCTATTCACTGTCATTACATGAAAATCCCCCCCCCCTTTTCACCAGAATCATGTGAGAGGCTATCCCTCTCATGTGAAGGTGGATCAAATAGGCAGTGCTCCTTGGGGAACCCTTTTTGTGCAGCTTTGGTGGGACAGCTGACTTTGTTCTTGCGCCTCCAAGGAGAGGGGGAGGGAGAGGAGGATATAGTAGGCCCATGGC